AGTCCAGGTCTCCTGTGAGTCAACAGATTCAGTCACGTTCCTTTCGCAATGGCTTCCAACATAAACACACACAGAATATAAATACCCTCTGCGAGACTCTCTTTCAAAAAAAAAAAAGATGAATTTTTCATGCTGTATGTACGGGAGTCTAAGTGCATGTGTGTGTGTCACGTACAGTGCCTGCTGAGTAAAAGTGCATCAGATCCACAGACCTTCATTTTGGAAATAGTGGCTCTTAAGGAGACTTGGGGCTTGCATGTTAGGCGAGGCTGGCCGGCCAGTGAGCTCCAAGATCCATTTTCCCTGCTTCTTCAGCTCTGCAATTACAGGAGCCTGTCACCAAGACTGATTTGTTTTTCCAAGTGCGTGCGTGCGTGTGAGCATGCGTGCATGTGTGTGAGTGTGTGTGCGTGCGTGTGCATATGTTCTGGGTTTCCCTTGCCCCCACTGTTAAGCCTCTCAGCTACTCCTTCCCTTTGAGTTTTCACACAGGACATCTTGATTAGGTCCTTTATTTCTGTCAATTTTTCATAGTTTTACAGATAGGTCTTTTATATATCTCTTTGTATTTATTCCTAAATATTTCATAACTTTGAAGTTGAGAGACTTTTTTAACTTTATGATTTAGCAATCCAGCTCCTGATAACCACTTATTCCTAGCGATTCTAGGCAGTCTCAGGGGCCGTCCTCTGTTCACCATCGTTGGCTACTAATAAACAGAGCATTGCACTGCTCTCTTGTTCTGCAATGTCTCTGGCTGCCGAGGAAACTGTGGTCTAACAAGGACAATGCTTTACCAGAACCACAGCAAGAGACGGGTAGAAGAGATGCCGACAGCAAACAAACGACTCAGTTCATTCCTTTTTCTTTTCTACCACTTCTGTTGTGAGTTAGCAGCCTTGAAAGGCAGCTTCATGTAAAACCAAACAAACGATGCCTGAGATTTATCCTTCTTCCTAAGCAGATGATGAGCACAATAGGACCTTTATTAGTGCTTTCTAAACTCCTGACCAATCAACACAATGAGACCCTCTGAAATCCTGTGGGCAACCAATGACTGACAGTAACTGTGTGTGTGTGTGTGTGTGTGCGCGCGTGCATGCACGCTCTGTACAGTTCGTGCTCGGAGACAGTTCCAGGGCTCTGCTGTGCAGTTTAGTGACTACAGTGTGGCGCTCACGTGCTCAGCGCATGGTTTCATGGCTCTGCTGTTCCAGGGACTCCTAGACTGCAGCCCGTCACACCAGAAAAACCAAGATTGGCTTCAGCAGCCTGCAAGGCTTGCTACTGACAGACATGCCTCACATCACCACTTGGTGATACACAATACTCCAGCCATGCCTATAAAGTTCAGAAAGAGGCAACCACTGAAAGCAATGCCAAAGTGTACTTTGTCAAGTGTACTTAAACATGCAGACCCAGCGCGAATGTTCAGCCCAATTTGTAAAAGCATCACTTCTCCAAGGCAAAACCACTACGAAGCTGAGCAAGGACATCTCTCTCTGAAGATCCCAATGGGAAGTAAGGTATCCTATGAGCTGATTAAAGACAAGAATAACTTGGTCCCATCTTTCCCTGGGCCATACTATATTTAGCATTTCTGTTTCTTCTGAACTGGCCCATGCTTTCACTCTTCAGTGTTTTTCAAAATCTGCAACATTTGTTCCCTGTAAAATTACAGAGAAAACATCTCTGGAGAATAAACGACACAGGAGGAACATGGAGGAACATGGTACAAGCTTATCAGGAGACGGCTACTTCCAAAGCTGACAAGGAGGTGTTTTTCACAAGGAACGGGTAAGCACTGGCATAGTAACTACTAGGAGCAGGCAGAGAGCAGAATCTACTCTGGGCGTACCACCTCTGCTACAGGAAGAGGACTTGGCTCTGGGATGAGGGCTCAGTCTTCAATCTATTTCCCTACAAGATGCTGAGGTGGTGGGAACTCACAGCCTCAGATGACTCACACAGTCCATTCTCTCTTTAGGCTCACAGTTTGGGTTTATTCTTGTGCGCACACATACATGTGCCAGCACACAGGTGAGAGGCCAAGGGAGGGCCTTGGGTGTTCTGCTCTATCACTTTCCATCCTAGTCCTCTGAGACTGTGTCTCCCTGATCCTGAAGTTAGGATGGTGGGCAGCAACTTCTAATGAGCCTGTTTCCACACCTCACAGTGCGGGTTACCGGGTGCACGTGTGCACAGTGCAGGTTACAGGGTGCACACGCGGGCAGTGTGGGTTACAGGGTGTACACATGGACAGTGTGCGGATCTGAATTCAGGTCCTCATGCTTGTGCACCAAGTACTCTTCCTGAACCATGAGCCCATTTTAAAGAGCCCCCTGGAAAACACTTCACATCTGAGCATATTCTTCATCTGTGTGCCATCCACCGGGTTGACTTCTCCAGTGGACACAGCCTACTGGCTGACAGTTTTCTCACACCACATGACACACTTCCTATGCACGGGGTCAGGCTTCTGTCCCTTCTTGTCTGGGGGTTGGACTGACACAAACAACACTGCTCTGGCTCCTTCAGCTGTAAATTCACCATAACTGTGCCAGCTCCCACTTCCCTATGACCGCGGTGCTAGGCTACACCTGCCTTCTCATCTCGGAAGTTCAGGAACTGCTGGAAAACCTCACTCTCCGACACCACGGGATGCCGGCACATCCTCGTCATCCAGGCCTGGAGTCGCTCCATGCGCATCTTGATAAATTCCTCTTCAAAGCGACCTAGAGAGACACACCCAGAGTGATACATTACTCCTACAGAGAATTATACTGGAGCTCCTGTGACTACTGGATACTGCGCAGAAAGCCATTTGTAAAAGGCTCAGAAAGTCACAAGAAAGATGTGTGTATGTGTGAGTTCGGTGTGTGTGTGATATAGGGTGGAGTGTGTGCGCACGTGTAAGGGGTATGGAGGCAAAGCACAATGCTCAGACTCTTGTACTGTTACTCTGCCTTGTTCCTTTGAGACAAGATCTTTCACTAGCCCAGAGTTAGGTTTACAGCCAGCACGCCTGTCATCCTCCTGTTCCCACCCTACGGTGCTGTGTTACAGCACACGTGTGGTCATGCCTGGTTTTCATGTGAGTGTTGGAGAGCTGAGCTCCAGCTCACAGCAACTGTTCTCACAGCTGAGCTATCTCCCCAGCCCTGACTCTTTAGTTTAGTGTTTGCTTGGTTTCCTGAGACAGGGTTTCTCTGTGTAGTTTTTGAGTCTGACCTGGAACTCGCTCTGTAGACCAGAACTCACAGAACTTAGCCTGTCACTACTTCCTGAGTGCTGGGATTAATGGTGTGACCTCCCTCCACCACCTGACAACTCTTTATAGTTTTTAAGAATGAAGTTCCGGGGGCTGGAGACATGGCTCAGCAGGAAAGAGCACAACCACTCTTTCAGAGGACCCCAGTTCAGCTCCCAGCATCCACAGAGCAGCTCACGGCCACCTGCAACTCCAGTGATCTGACTCCTCTGACCTCCATGGGCTGTTCCAGAGGATCCAGGTCCCTCATGGGCTCCTGCATGCACATGGGCACATACATGCATTCACACCCCCCCCCCCCACACACACACCGGGGTGCATGTGTGTACTCCCTGAAGACTGTAACTTTGTTCTACTCCTTTAAAAAAAAAAGATTTATTTATTTATTACATATACAATGTTCTGCTTGCATGTATACTTGCAGGCCTGAAAAGGGCACCAGATCTCATTACAGATGGTTGTAAGTCACCATGTGGTTGCTGAGAATTGAACTCAGGACCTCTGGAAGAACAGTCAGTGATCTTAACCTCTGAGCCATCTCTCCAGCCCCCCCTTTTAATTTTTATGTGTGTGAATATTTGCCTGCATATATGTACCACATGTGTCCCTGGTGCCCAAAGATACCATAAGATGGTGACAGATCCCTTAGAACTAGAGAGAACTACAGGCAATTATGAGCTACCATCTGAATGCTGGGAACTGATCCCAGGTTCTCTGCAAGAGCAACAAGTGCTCTTTACCACTGAGCCAGCTCTCCAGCCCTTCTATATAGTCTTGTTAAGTTAAATGGTGAAGACCGTACCTACCCAAGACCTAACAGCCATGCTGCAGCAAACATTACTGAGCAACTGTTCCTGTTTTAGAATAGAGAGCTTGGCAATCAGGACACAGCCAACATCAAATGAGCAGTGGATTCATGTTCTTACAAAACAAGTATCACCTGAGGGCCTAAAGGAGGAAATTCCCACACAGCCAGGTGAGGACCGGAAGTTACCCTAACCCTGAGAATCAATGTGAAGCCGTCCAATGCCAACAAAATAACCACAGCCTACTCTGGAGATCAATGAGACAGAACCGCCTAACAAGCACCTCTGCTGGAAAAACTGTTCAACTCCACCAAGAACAGTGAGAACCTGTAGCATTCTAGGGCTGCTCCATCTCTGCTGCAGTGCACCTCCTCACACCTCAGAGGCCGTGCCTGGCAAGGCAGGTTGCGGAGATCAGCTGCAGCATCCTTCACATAGGAGCAGGCTCACTTGATTTGGAGCAAGGGGGAGATGCCCATTCTCAGGAACACTGGTGCCAGGCAACCTCAGGGGTGAGGAGGGAGAACAAGTGGCTGTGCTTAGGGAAGATGGCAGAACCAAGCACATTCTAGGACGAAGCTGTGTAAAACAGTGGGGACCAGATGGTGTCTAAGTCACATGCTCCTGCCCAACCATGAGACTGTACACATGCAAGAGAGACAGAGAAGGGTCCAGAGAGGAAGCAAGACACAGTGTAGTCCCAGTTGCATGGTAGTCTAAGGCAGCAGGATTATCTGAGTTCGGGAGTTTGGGGCAAGCCTGAACTGTGGGAGAAGTGTCTGTATTCTGTCAATCATGTTTTAAATAAACGCTGATTGGCCAGGCAGGAGGTGTAGGCGGGGAAACTAGACAGGAAGTGGAAATGATGCAAGGAGGGCAGGAGAATTCTGGGGAGGAGGAAATTGATTCCTTGCATTCCTGCCCAGACCACAGAAGCAGCAGGATGTAAGCTGCCCCACTGAAAAAGGTACTGAGCCACATGGCTAAAATAGATCAGAATAATGGGTTAATCAAGCAAGATGTGAGAGTTAGCTAATAAGTAGCCTGACCTAATGGGCCAATCAGCATTGTAACTAATAGAGATCTATGTGTGATTTTTTTTCTCTGGGACTAAACAGCTGGGGGGCCGGACAGGACAGAAAACCCCCAACAAACAGACCCCTTCATGTTACACTGAACAACACAGAAAGACCCTGCTTCTTTCTTTCTGGGGTAGAAACAAATACTACCCCAAACAACAAAAACAAAACAAAGGACCAGGACAAATAAAGGCTGGGGATAAATTGAAGTGACCCCACTTTGAATGCCTTCTACTTATAGTTACATCTAGAAGAAAGAAGCCATCAGTCCCAGGCGCCCTGCTAGTTCATGTGCAGAAGCAAACCTTAGGATGCCAGTCTTAAACACACAAACACAAAAACAACTGAGTTGTAAGGGAGATAGCATTTTGAGATTTTGGAACTGCATAGGCCAGTTCCTCATGCAAACAAAATAAAAAGGCAACAACAGAATGTGGAGATGTTGAAACATATTCTCAGCAAGGACCAATGTTCATTTAAAAAAAAAAACACCCAAACAAACAAAAAGCCAACTAGAGTTTGGCCAATAAGAAGCAAATTAGGAAATATATTGAAGAAAAAAAAACCTGTCAGCAGAAATTGTTACTAAGTGTAGCTAAATGTTGAATTTTGCTGTCAAAAAGCAAAGCAGTTTCTCTAAGTATGTTCAAAAAACTGTTAGAAAAATCAAAGGACAACATGACAATAATCAACAATCAGACCCTAAAGGATACAGAACCACAGAAAGAAGTGAATAGAATGCCTGGAGTTGGCAGTGCAGGGACTGAAACAGGAAATTCACATCAGCAATCAACAGAAATGCAAGATGGCAAAAGAGAAGATTGTGAGTCCAAAGAGCTTCACACTTAGATGCAGCAGAGGCAAACGCTGAGAGAAGAAAACAAAACCCCACGGTCACCAGCAGCCAGGCTGGTGCTTGTGTGGGAAGAAAGCAGAATTAAGGGCTGACTTATTGTGGGGACAAAGCAGGTCGATGGCAGTGGGAAGACACGGGCTGTGCAGCATGGAAAACAGCAGCTGAAGATCCTATAACCAGCAACCTGCCCTTCAGATGTGGGAGCCCCTCTGTATGCTGTGAGTAGTTTTTTGTTTTTTTTTTTTTTTTACCATTGGGTAATAAAAAAAGCTGTTTCGACCAATGGCTTAGCAGAGTAAAGCCAGGTGGGAAATCCAGAGATAGAGAGAGAGCGTAGTGGAGTCAGGGAGATGCCATGTAGCTGCAAAAGGAAAAAGATGCTGCTGGAACCTTTCTGATAAGCCACAGTCTTGTGGCGTTACAAAGATTAATAGAAATGGGTTAATTTAAGATGTAAGAGCTAGGTAGAAATATGCCTAAGCTGCTGACCAAGCAATGTTGTAATTAATAAATTTTCTGTGTGATTATTCAGGTCTGAGTGGCTGGGAAACGAACAAGCAGTCTCCAGTTACCCCCTTCAAAAATATAGGCAGAGGGGATTGAGACAGCTCACTGGTTACGGGCACTGGGTGCTCTTCCAGAGAATCTGGGTTTGAACCCACATGATGATACACAATCATCTGTAATTCCAGTTCCAGGAAACTCAATGTCCTCTTCTAGCCTCTATGGGCATGAGGTATGTAGGTATGTAGGCAAAACAGCCATAGTCATAAAATAAATACATTAAAAAAGGATCAATCTGCGGATGTGCACTATCTGATTTAGTGACATTAATCAACACTGTGTGGTTTTGGCAAGAAGATGAACAGAGAGAGTAAACGAGCCCAGAAACAACCCACACAGCCGGTCACGTGACTCTGTTCAAAGGGCAGGTGCAATGATCAGGGAAAGGAGTCTTTCTGGTGTCCAGATGCAAACAAGTGAAGCATACAACAGTCAGCCACAAATACATCAGACATGAATGCAGAACCTCAAACTACCACACTTTCAGTAAATGTATCATGAACTGAAGCTAGACAGAGGTTTCATGATACTACCTTAGGGCACAGTTCATAAAATCCTGCCATGCTGGATGCCAAGGTTAAATGAAACGTCTCTCACAGGATCTGGTGTTCAATGCTGAGTCCCTAGCTTGTGGAACTTTAGGAGGCTGGGTTCAGCTGGGTGGAATGGGTTACTGAGGTGTCCCCTCTCCACTCTCTGCTCTGCTATGCACAGGCACAGTGAAACCTCTACCACATGAGCCCAAATTAACCTTTCTCCCTTTAATTAAACTGTTTCTTTCAGATATCTGTCACTGAAAGACACTGGATTCCTTAAAATTAATGGCTTGTGCTACACATTGTTTGGAGAACAAAAGGGCAAGCTACAGTTGGAGCAGTCACGTGCACATCACACACCTGAAGGAGAACTGTTTCTAGATCATATAGAAATAAATCAGCAATGAAAAAATAGACTAGCAAAATTAAAAAAAAGAACCATTTGAACAGACAGACACTTAACCAAAAAAAGACACATAGATAGGAATAAGTGCATGAAAAGATACTCTATACAACCCATCAGTACAGAATAAAACAAAAACAAAATATACCACGACATGCCTATAAGACTGGTGCTGTGGTGGGGAACGCCAGTAGGATTTGCTGAAGGAGGCAGAGGCAGAAGGATCACAAGTTTGAGGCCAGCCTGGGCTACACATTTTTTAAAAAATACTGGTCAAGCAAAATCAATGGAAAACAGACATTACCAAGTGTAGGTAAAGATGTGGACTCATGGACATTTTCATATATCACTGATATAGATTCACAGTACTGAGGGGGCGGGGCAGATGAAGCAAGAGGAGCACCAGTTTGCGTTATGTAATGAGCTTCGGGTCAGCCTGATCTACTCAGTGAGGGCCTGTCTCAAAAATAAACAAAATCCTTAGTTATGACAAAAATTAAAATAGATATAATTATTGTAACTACAAAAAATAAAAAATAAACAAAAATAAGAAAATATCTATACTGGTAATGCAACATTACCTAGAACTAGAAGTTCAAATGTCTGTCAGTGAATGAAAGGGTAAAGAATTACAGTCTATGCAAACTCTAATAACAGCTATAAAGAAAACTGCTGATCCAACAAAGGAATGGATCTCAGCTGCACTGTTTCCACTCATAATGTATTTGAGAAAAGGCAAAATTGCCCCCCCTTTTTTTGCAGGGGTGGGGCAGGGTTTCTCTGTGTAACAGTTCTGGCTGTCCTAAAACTTGTTCTGTAGACCATGCTGGCCTCGAACTCACAGAGATCCACCTGCCTTTGTCTCTGCCTCCTGAGTGTTGAGATTAAAGGTGTACCTACCATCGCCTGACTGAACAGGCAGAATTATAGCAACAAAGAACTGATCAGATATTGTCAAGGACAGGAGTAGAGGAAGGAGCTGGAAACAAATGCTAACGCTGAGCACCGTGAAGTTTTGGGAGGCAACAGAACTACCCTGTGTTACCAACATAGTGGTGGTTACAACACTGTAAAAGTCGGTACCAAGAATGAACTTACTGCATACAGTCAAAAGGGAATTTTCAAAAAATGCAGCCTCAACTTTCTGTCAGAAGAGTACACACATGAGCAAATCTTCCAGTAAGATAGACCCATCTACCAACATGTTCTACCTTAAGCAGCATGCAAACACCGTGGATCTCACCCCAAGCCTCTCATATCTAAAAGTACTACCACTGCACACTTAGTAGGAGCGCAGGGCACTACCACTGCACACTTAGTAGTAGGGCAGGGCATATACTATAAAAGCCTAATGGTTTGGCCCTCAGTTTCAGCCTTGGGAAAGATGGCGGCCTCCCTTACTGACGGAAGGACCTGGCAGGTGCACATACTGGGATGTCCTGCACTCCTCCTAGAGCAAAGGAATCAGCGCCAGAATTAACTAGTCAGGGACTGAAATTTGATCATTTTTTATTTAATAATCCTCTTTGTAAAAATCCTTCAATACAGCTGGCTCAGCTAGGATTTGCATAGCATTTTATGTTTACTAGGTGTTTATACCAGGTTCCAGGGACTTGTAACCAAGGGGGAGGGGAGAGAAGGGATGTATGTTTATCCATTTTCCATAAACCTTACCTAAGTTTTCATTAAAAATGTGAAAACAATCTTTTGGAATCCCAAAATACAACCTGGCTGATTCTGTCCTGTTTTCACAAAGAATGAAATCTGCAAACAGAATATGTCACCTGAGAACTTTCATGGACAAGCATGACATCATTTCCCAGACTTCCTCTTTCTTTCTTCTGGGAGTTCAGTGAGGAGAGTCTACACACAGCACTGAGCCTGTGGGTACCACAGACAGGAGGCAAGGAGAAGTGTCCTCGGCGTGCCTCCAGAGAGCGGTCAAAGCCAGACTTTCTTCAGACTGCGGATGCTGCTTACTCGCTGTGCCATGCCCCTGGCTGCATGCCTGCTCTCCCCCTCCCCCCTTTTAAAGACAAACTTCAATGTGGAAGGATTGAGAGCTCTATGATGCTTTAAACCAATAATAAATTACTTGACTGAAAACCATCGCCTGTTCATTTAAAAACTGTGAAGCACATGCTATGCCAGCCTATTGGGTAAAAGTAGAGGATAAAATTCAAGGGTACAGACTGACATTTATAACATGTAAAAAGGATTGGAATCAAATCTACTGTTTTAAAAAGAAAGGTCTGAGCTGGGCAGTGGTGGTGCACGTTGTTAATCCCAGCACTGGAGAGGCAGAGGCAGGTGGACCTCTGTGAGTTCGAGACACCAGCCTGGTCTACAGAATGATTTCCAGGCACGCTCCAAAGTTACACAGAGAAACCCTGTCTCAACATCATCTCCCACCCCACTCCCCCCACCAAAGAGAGAGAGAGAGAGAGACAGAGAGAGACAGAGAGAGAGAGAGAGACAGAGAGAGAGAGAGAGCTCTGATTTAAAGTAAAAGGGATGAAGAGAATAACAGGGCATATGACTTGAACGGGTTGTAGAACAGTTTGTGGGTCTGCTGACACCTGAGTGAAAGGCAGCTACGGTCTACAGCACCCAGGGCTCCAGCCCCACGGAAATGCTGCAGCAGCACTCACAGGCCTGTTGGATGTGCCCACCTAGGAGCAGAGTAGCATCCTCCACCTCACTGGGACAATGTCAAGTTTTTGAGGTTTCTAAAACTAAAATAATCCAAGCCCAAACAACTTCTTTAAAAACTAAAAAATTTCATCTCCACAAAACAAGAGAGACAAAACGAAACCCTCCAGAGGAAAGTAAACAGAAAACAAAGTAAAATATACAGTTTTAAGAAGAATGACTTCAGGCTGGAGTAATGGCTCAGCAGTTAAGAGCATTGCTTGCTCTTCCAAAGTTCAATTCCCAGCAACCACATGGTGGCTCACAACCATCTGTAATGAGGTCTAGTGCCCCCTTCTGGCCTGCAGGCACACAGACAGACAGAATAATGTATACACATTAAATAAATATTAAAAAAAGAATGACTTTTACTGATCTTGATGATACTAATTCTAGCTAAAGATTAGCTGGTTCAACCTCTAACACAAACATAGGATGCTTGAGGATCAAACACAAACTCCCTGCTTAGCAGGCTAAAAGGGCCTGTTGGATGCTTTGGGGTCTGTTTCCCCCTCTCTGCTATGAAGATCAAAGAGCCTACCTGTAAGCACAGAGAAGAAAGAACTCAGGAAGTTCCCCAGAGCACAGGGACTGGTCCCTGGGGACAGGGTGGGCTGCAATGCTGAAATCTCAGCCAGGAACTGCCATCTGGTGGGCTAAGATGACTTGCGGTCCCTCCCTAAGTTCCTCAGCTCTGAGGGTTAAGCCTTCTTTGGCCTTCTCTTTGGGAAGGGCCTTGCCCCCGCTCCAATTCCTCTCTCCTCTCTCCCAGGCCCTTCCAGATCTGGCTGGCTAAGCCTCACTCTGGCCCTCCATCCATTCCTCTCTACATGGAACACTTTAGTCACTTAAGAGTTTCTACCAATCTATTAAAACTCATAGTTTCGGGGACATTCAGCCCCTTTACAAACCCAGTGTTCTAAGTCATGCTTCTCACTGAGTCCTCAAGCACTTATCCCCGGTCCCACACTAGAGGAGACTCACATCTGAGACGACAGTTTCTAAAGAGGCAAACCCTTTCTGAGCAAATGTACAGGGGCAGAAGCTGGATTACCTAGCAGAGAGTTTCTCATTTTTTAAAAAAATATTTATTTATTTACTTATTATGTATACAATATTCTGTTTGCGTGTATGCCTGCAGGCCAGAAGAGGGCACCAGACCTCATTACAGATGATTGTGAGCCACCATGTGGTTGCTGGGAATTGAACTCAGGACCTTTGGAAGAGCAATGTTCTTAACCGCTGAGCCATCTCTCCAGCCCCCATAGTTTCTCATTTTTGAAAGGTAATTTTATTATTCTAAATGTGTGTGTGTGTGTGTGTGTGTGTGGAATGTGCACATGAACGCAGGTGCTCGTGGAGGCTGAAGCTGGAGTTGTAGGCAACTACAAGGTACTCAATACAAGCGCTAGAAACTGAAGTTGGTCCCCTGCAATAGCAGTGCACATTCTTAACCACTGAGCCACTCTCTAAACCTCACTTACCAGGAGACTTTTGGGGGCAGGACAAAGTGGAACGAATGTGACACTTAAGTAAACAAGGAAAGGGAGAGGGCACGAGTGTGTGACGAATGATTCTTCCTCAAGAACAACTGAGAGCTCTGACTTCTCCGTGTGCTCCACACACAGGAGAGCAGAGCGGCAGAGCCTGACTCTTGTCATTTGGGTCTCAAGCTTTTGTTTTCATTTTAGGCTGTTCAGATTTCTGTTTTCTAAGGTTCTATTCTCACACTTAAAAAATGAACCTTTTTGGTAAAAGGAAATAAAGACAATGACTTTTCTAGAATTCGAGGTACACAAGTTCTCTGACAGCAAAGTTGTCCACTTGTGCTCTTACGCATCAGGAGCACAACCCAGCCAGCTCTCCGCCTGTCACTCTGAACGGCACAACTCACACTCACCTGTCACCTGCTTGTCTGGAAGAGAAGGGATCGGAATGGCAGACCCAAACTTGACTAGGAGACGCTCATACAACCAGTCAAAGTGCTTATACCTGTGGTTTACAGATCGGTTAGTGTTCTGCAAAACAAGGGAGAGAGAAGAAAGCATTACCAACGCCAAGCACTGAAATGGAGAAAAAGCAAGCAGCAGCAGCAACCATCTGAAGGCAGGTACTCACGGTGGGTGTTAGCTGATACTCAATGTAGCTCTTCAGACCGTACATTTTGGAACCTTTCCGGGGATCTGCTACCACACAGTCAAAAGTAGAGGTAGGATAAACCCACATTGGGCCGTAATCTCCAACCTAAACAATGATCCAGGACAAGTTAATTCTGTAACTTGGGAAAACAGTAACACAACTGCAGTCACACAGAGAACAGCAGTCCTGCAGCAGCCGTTCTTGCTCCTCTGGAGAAGGAGGGGCTGTCTGCAGTTCTAGGGGAGCACAGCTGTTCAGATGAACCCATCTCATCCACGTGGGCATCTTGTCTCAGGATGAAAAGAAACTGGCTCATATTTAGGGAGCTGAGTACAGAAGCACATTCTCCTTTAGACCAGAAGTTAAAGCTAAATGAGACAAAGGGCTCTTCCTTTTTAATTTAAACTTTTAACATTGACTGTGTGTGTGTGTCAGGATTATGTTAATGACGTCACAGTCTCAGTTTTTATACGCTCTCTCATTTGGTTTGTTTGTGTTTTTCGAGACAAAGATTCTCTGTGTAGTTTTGGAGCCTGTCCTGGAACTAGCTCTTATAGACCAGGCTGGCCTCAAACTCACAGAGATCCACCTGCCTCTGCCTCCCAGGTGCTGGGAAAAAGGCGTGCGGCACTGCCAGCCTCTTCTGTTTTTAAACTAATTACAGGGCTGACTGGTAAAACAATTTTCAAATAAGCAACTGGTCTGTGAATGATGCCTGAAGCAGTACTGTCCTAACTTCTAAACAGTACGAGCCTGGCCACAACCTGACAGCCATTATTTTGGCCATGGTAAACCTGGCCACCACTGATAGTTATATTATTTTGGTCACGGTGAGCCTGGCCACAACCTGACAGCTGTTATTTAGGCCATGGTGAGCCTGGCCACAGCCTGATGGCCATTATTTCAGCCATGATTAGAAGTAAAAAGAAAACAAGGAAGACCGATAGATGGGGCTACAGAGAAGTATATGCACGCCGAGAACTCCACCACAAGGACAGCAGGTACAAGAGGACAAAAATGCCCACCTCTCATTCTGCCCAGAGGTGCGGGAGGGAAATGCCGGATGGGTATGAAAGCCCAGGCAACGATCACTACAGAAGGCGACTGAGGACTGGAGATGGCTAACAAGGAACTAGGAGGCCTCTAAGAACACAACTAAGCTGCCTCAGCTGTGTCTGTGAGGCTCTGCTAAGACCTCAGGACAGCAACCAAGGGCCACCCTGAGCAGCCACCCTCTGTGACAAGGACAAAGGGCAACTGCCTGGTCCTCAAACTCACCAGGCCTCGCTTGTCCGTAAGTAATGTTACCTTTTATCCTAGGCCCAAAGTGGGTCTCTGTTCTGTCTTTGCCTCCTAAAGACTCAGTGGCTTTCCCATTTCTTCTGCTATGTGAGAAGCTGTACAGACAGGTCTGCCCACAGGGCTCATGGGTCTATTTCTCCCAAAACTCATAGACAAAGCATAGGCTGGACTTCATATTCTATGTTCTACCACAGTCATGTCTGTGACAAAGTCCACACTAGAATGTGAGGGGCAACTCATGGGCTCTTAATTCCACAGAGTTTTAAATTTAATGAGAAGGCTCATGACGTGTGTCGCCCCCCTGCCCCCAGCCTGGAACAAACAAAAAGATTCAAATCTTCTTGTTTGTTTGTTTTTCGAGATAGGGTTTCTCTGTGTAGCTTTGAGGCCGGTCCTGGAACTTGCTCTGTAGACCAGGCTGGCTTTGAACTCACAGAGATCTGCCTGCCTCTGTCTCCTGAATGCTGGGATTAAAGTCATGCACCACCACTGCCCGGCTCAAATCTTAAAATACTCAGAAGGTAATTACTGCATATATGTTTTGAGGGACAAAGGTATTAGAACTTTGGGATAGTGCACTTCTATTTGGTGGTTCTGAGAATTTTAAGCTTTTTACAAATGAGGAAAAGTAATTAAAGGGTCCATTATCATTCCTGGTATTTTATCATGGGCCCCTGAAACCAAAGATTACAGAAGAAGGCAGGTGGTTTCTTGGCCTTGCAGCCTTGCAGCCATGGTGATTACATCCAAGGCTCCCATCAGCTACAGGTTAAGTAAATAGGGTTACAAAATAGTCACGGATCTTTCCCCCTAGAATTTCACTAGATATTGCCTAGATAGAAAGGTTTGTTGATTAAGAAACAAAGTATGGGATGAGACCAAAGAGCAT